AGAGGAAAAAAAATAGAAAGAAACAACCCAACAACAAAGTCTGTCCCACTCCAGTGAGGTAATTGAAAACAAACTTCTTCCCCACCCCCCCACCCCCCCACCTCAGTTCTCCAGTGCAGAAGGGAAGTCTGCCCTGAGAAACCGGCACCGGCCATGACTGATGCCTACTCTGACCCCCAGGCCGGAGGGGCTGAGCTAGACTGGCAGAGAGAGTGCCCTCCTTCCCCAGGGGCACCAGCAGAAGTGGGAGGTGAATGTCTCCTGCCACCCCAGAGACAGGCATCACTTCCAGGTCTGGCTGCCACCCCTATCTGCCCCTGTCGAGAGTACAGATAAACAGCACAGCCACTTATTATCAAATGGCTTCACTGGTGCTGTGCTTCTACAAGCACCCAAGACTTGGGGGCCAAATGACTGAACCCCAAGAAGAATCACAAAGCGCGGCTGTCTCCCAGCCCCAGATGACAGCTGTTTCCTCTGCTTCTCTTGCTCACTCACTCTCCCTGGCAGCCCTTTGGAGAGGGAGGAAGGGGAGGAAGGGAGACCCTCCTGGGAAGGTCTAGGCTTATGGGTCCCCTAGGTCTCCCACTCAGCAAGTCCCAACCCAGGCCTGAGGGGAAGGAGGGAGCCGAGTGCTCATTGCCAAACCACCCCTACCTCACCACCGGAAAAACCAACAACCCAAAACCCCAAAGGGAAGAGGATGCCAAATGTCTCGATGGGGAAGCATTTCACAAACGGGATGCTGGGTCTGGTCTGTTCATGGCCTTGAATCTGCGCGTTCCCGCTGAGTCACCCGTGAAGCCTCTGGTGTTGAAACTGGTCCGGTGCCTTGTGCTGATTAATGAATTACAAATCCCCCACCCATGTGCACTCTCCCTGGTCACTGGGAAGAATGAAAACCCTTGTGAACTTGAGAGAGAAGCAGGGCCCTGGGTGTCCTCTCCCCTCCTCAGGGGGCACTATGAGCTGGTTAGTCACCTGCCCCGGCCGCTGGCGCCTCACTTAGCTCTAGCTTTTGGAAAGGGGACAAGCACAAGCCGCGGGACAATAGGCAAGTGGGGCGGTCAGCCCAGACAAAGGGCAGCAGGAAAAACACCATCACTTGCTCGGAGGCCAGTTTGCTGGCATTTGAGAGAATGTGTCATTGCATTTACTCAAGTGGGAGGGGGAGGGAAGGTTAGAAATGAGGAGGCAGAGGTAGGGTGGGCACAGGGACCCTAAACCCAGCAGGGAACAGAAGGAGGCCAGCATGCCCTGGCCGACACCAAGGCAGAAGCCCACACCAAGGCCAGCTCCCTCTCCAAGCTCTCAAGGGTTTGCAAAGGGACGATGCCCTCCCTGCCCCCTCCCCCAGGAGGCCTAGGGTGGTACCGTGGCAGCCTTGCCTCACCTCACCCCCCCTCGGTGTTGTGGGAGGGAGAGGAGCCCCAGAAGCCCTCCCTTCCCTCCTCCCCCCTCTCCCCCCCACCCCGGGGAGGGCTGCTACAATTTGTGGTTACAGCTTTACACGTCAGAAAAAAAAAAGTTTGCAGAATGTCCCACACCGAAAAAAAAAATGCGAAACCGAGAGAAAAAAACCTGCGAGTGGGCCTGGCGGATGGGATTATTAAAGCTTCGCCGGAGCCGCGGCTCGCCCTCCCACTCCGCCAGCCTCTGGGAGAGGAGCCGCGCCCGGCCGGCCCGGCCCCCAGCCCCATGGACCTCCGAGCAGGTAGGAGCCAGGCGTCCGAGGCCTCGGCCTCCGCCCCCGCCCAGCAGCAGTGAGATCCGGTTCCCGTCCTCCTCCCCACCCCCGGAGCCCCACGCCGGGGCCCGGCCGGGGAGCACAGCTCGGGCTGGGGAGGTACGGCCGGGAGCCCTCGAGAGGGGCCGGGTGGGGACGCGGCATTCCTGGAGTCCGCTCGGCGGAGCCGGGAGGTGGCCGAGAGCGCGGCGGGGAGCCTGGACAACCCCTCCGACCTGGACGGGCGGCCACCTGGAGCCACAGCGAGGCGGGGTCCCAGAGAACCCGAGGACACAGAGCCCCGCGCCCGAGTCGGGGCGAGCGACTCCGAGGCGGGCAGCGAGGGTGCGGGGGTGGGGTGGGGGGGACGGGACGCGGCGCGAGGGAGGAGGGGGCCAGGAGAGGAAGAGGGAGGGAGGGAGGCAGAGGGGGAGCCCGCGGCCGAGCAGCGGGAGGCGAGGGGGAGGCCGACACCTCGGGCCGCGCCGAACTCCTTCCTCGGCCGGCGGGGAGGGGAGGAGGGCGCGCGAGAGGAGGGAGGGCAGAGCG